TGAAGGACAAAGGGAGGGCGAGGGGGCGGCGGACAAGAAGAGGGATAGGGAAGGAGAGGGCGAGGAGAAGGGGGGAGGGGGACGATGGGGAGTGGGACTGGAAAAAAGGACAACGGGAGACAGCAACAGACGGGCGCAAGAAAGAGGAGGAGGGGGAACCTGCAAGCTAGGTGCGCTCCGGCCATATCTGACGTCATACTCCTCCCACCCATCCCTTCATATTGCCCTCATGTCTTCTCCGTCCCTGGGTGCGTGTCGTAGCTGACCTGGAATTCCCAGATGGAGCCCATCGTCTTATGCGCGATCGGAAAAGGGGAGCCGCGCACATTGGCGAAAAACTTGCGGACGAGCAGGAGAATGAGCAGGAGGATGAAAAGCACGGAGCAGGCGGAGGACGCCGAACAGCAGCAGCAGCAGCTGGATCCAGAGGAGCTGGGGCAGGTGGAGCGGGAGCAGCAGGACCAGCGGGGGAGGCGGAGGAGGGGAGAGAGAGGAGCAGGACCGGCGAGGACGAGGAAAAAGACTCGGATGCAGCACACGGCGGCCCGCGCGGGGGCAGGAGCGCCAGCCCCGCACGAGGGGAGCGCGGCGCCGACCCTCCGACGAGGCCAACGCTGCAGCGGCAACGCCCTTCTCGGGCACCGAGACCGTGTCGACGGCAGCAAAACCGCCGAACCAACGTGCGGCAGGCTCGTGCCGTGACGACCCCGGCGGTGGTTTCTGACACCGCGTGGATGGTTTCACCTTGAACGGTCGGCGGCTTTTCGATCGCCCGATCGTTCGACGTGCGACGACTCTGGGCCACTGGCGGCGTTCAATCTTGAACGCCCGCGGTGGGGTCGCCACCTGTCGGCACGACGCGAACCTACCGTGCTTCCCCAGACTGCGGCGATGGACGGAAACCCCTTTCGCAAAACGTGGCTTGGTGAAAACGACCTCAGGCCCAAACCTGGCCGGCGCAGGCCTGGAAAATAACGGCCGCGGTCGAGATCCGAAAACGGACGACTCACTAACCGACGTGTCCGGGGGGGGCTCTGCCCACCCCTGAAAACTGTGAAGGGGCCCTGGGACACACAAATAAATACACACGAATAAAAGGATTCCCCATACTTGCCCATATCTTCTGGGTTTTTGTCTTCCCCCCCACTTTCCATATTTTCCCATCTTTTCTGGGGAATCGACGATGAATTCCCAACCATCCTGTGGTGTTGGGTCCTCGTTTTGAAGAGACGGTGCCCCGCGTCTCCTCTCCTTCCTTCCTCCTCCTCCGCCTCCTCCCCCCTCCCTCCCCCTCCTCCCCCTCCTCCCACTATCACGGCACACCCCTCACACGTTTCGTGGCCCCATAGGGAGCTCCACCGACGGCCCCAGTGGCTGCGTTGGCATGGCGGCGCCGAACCCATTTCGGCACACCCCTCACACGTTTCGTGGCCCCATAGGGAGCTCCACCGAAGGCCCCAGTGGCTGCGTTCGCATGGCGGCGCCGCACCCATTTCGGCACACCCTTCACACGCTTCGTGGCCCCATAGGGAGCTCCACCGAAGGCCCCAGTGCTACCGCCCGCATGCGCCCCGTACGCCCAGGACAGCGTTTCGCGGCACGCCTTCCGTGGCCCCATAAGGAGCCCCACCGAAAGCGGCACCCACAAAAGCGTTATTCACAACTGCATATGGTTGGGCCCTTCGCCAGGATAACTGTGCCTGCCCACCCCCGAAAACGGTGCCTGCGCCTCGGGGGGCCTCCTGCCGGGCCCCGTCGTGCCACTGGCGGCAGGGGCTCGTGGGCCCCCGCCCGGCGCCGCCCGTCGCCGCCGGGCTCTCCCGGTTGCGGCCCGGCCAGCGCTGCACGGCTTGCCACTGCGCTGCACTGCTCTGCACCGCTCTGCGCCGCGTTGCACTGCTGCGCGCTGCTTTTTTCTGCCTCGAGTGGTACTGTCTTGTGCACTGCTTCGCACTGTGTTGCACCGTGCTGCATGGCTCTGCACTGCTCCGCGTTGCTCGGCACTGTGGTGCAGTGATTTGCGCCGTGTTGCAATGCATTGCTTTGCACAACATAGGTTCTACCACATGTATTGCACCACCCAGATTGCACCACACAGATTGCACCACATTGATTGTACCACCTAGATTGCACCGCATGCATTGCCAATTAAACAGAGCTTGAGGTACACGCTGGCGAATATTTGGAATCTTATGTTTGAAAGCAATGCGCGGAGGGGGCGGACGACTTCCTGCCCATTGTCGGGGCAAATTCAGTGAGAGTAAACGGCGAGGCCGCTGGAGGAGGGAAGAAAAAACGGGAATCATGGAAATGTGTGGACCCAATCGTGGTGCGGTTCTGAAACGCAACGCCAACCCAGAACTACGAGGCGGCCCCTCGATTGATTGGCGAATCCTTGGGTGACTGCCCGTCCCGAAGGAGGGGCGGCGGGGGAGATGGGAGGGAAGGGGGAAGGGGAGGAGGGAGGTACGGGAGCGCGAGGAAAAGGCAGGCAGGCGGGGGAGGGGGGGAGGGGAGAAGGGGGCGGAGTGTCCGAAACGGCCTGGGGAGGGGAAGGGCGAGGGCGAGAAGGGAGGGGGAAGGCCAGCGAGACGCAGAAAGAGAGAGGGAGATAGAGAGAGAGAGAGGCAGAGAGAGACAGAGACAGCGAGAGATGGAGAGAGGAGTGCGACGAGGGGGACGAAAAGGGTGAGGGGGGGGGCGCGGAAAGGTGCAAAACGGGGACAGTGAGAGGGGGGAGATACAAAACGGAAATGTAAGGTGGAGAGGGAGAGGAAGAAAGGAAGAGGGAGAGGAGGAGGGGGCGCGCTGGCTGGCGGCCGAGGTAAAGCTGGGCTGGTCGTGGGGGGCAAAAGGCGCGGTGCCCGTGCCATGCCGAATGTTTGTTCTCTGTATGCGTCGGGCGACAACGTCAGCATTTCACGAAGCAGGACATCAGCAGGATCCCCGGCACCATGAGTAAGGTCGGTCCGACTCAAAGAAATACGAGGCCGTAGTTGTACTTGACGTCGCAACAAGATTGCTCTAGGATGTGGCAAGGAAAAGCCCCATTCAATACAGTTCCTGTTGAGGTGTGGTCGATGTTGGGGGCCACACTGATAGCGATATACGTTTTAGCCAAACGGAGGTCAACAGTATACCAAAGCGACGACAACGACGACGACGACGACGACGACGACAACGACGGCAACAACGACGACAACATCGACGACAAGCACCACAGTAGCCTGCGAGCACCACAATGGCAGTGCTGGAGGCGCACAATGGTGGGGAGGGGGGAAGCGTTAACGTTATGGGGGGGAGGGGGAGGCGGCGTAACGCGCATTATGGCCCAGAGGGCTCAAAACACGCTCGAGAAAGTGGGGTGGGCTTGCTGCGAAGGGGGGGGAGAGCGGGTGCGGCGCCAGTCCGGCGTGTGCGCTTACTGCAGAAAGCCTGAGCTTCAGCTCAGCTCTGCCGGGGTGGGGGGGGGGGCGGGGGGGCTCTGCCAGGGAAGGGGGGTGGGGTGGGCGCGTGTGCAGTGGAGGCCAGTCCACAAGAAACCGTCCACAAGAAGCCCAACCCTGAGACCCCACGTCCCTTGATTTTTGGTGTGGGAGCGTCGCGCTCTCCATCGCACAACCGCCGACACCCGAGAGACCCAGGGCACCCTGGAGGCAAGCAGGGCGCTTCTTGGCACGGGTCTCCACTGCACTAAACTCCAGATCGAAAGACCTCGCCGTCGCTGGAGGCGCCGAGCGCCGAAACGGACACCACTTTCGTGTGATCTTGGGTGGGCAGCGTAGCGCGGGGCCTAACCCGATCTGACTGACACATCGCCGTCCATGGGCGCTGCGAACTGCAAAACTAAGGGAACGAAGAATGACATGAACACAAAAATTCGGAGGCCCGCGCGGATTTCTCGGATCGGCGCTGGGCCCCCCTTGGCGGCGCCTCTGGCGCCGCCCCTGGCTTTCTCCGCGCGCCAGGGGGGTGGTCCAGCACGGATCCAAGAAATCCGCGCGGACCTCCGATTTGTTATGTTTGAGTCATTTTTCGTTCCCCGAACCTCGCCGTCCATGGGCGCTGCGAACTGCGAAACTGTCGCCGCGCTCGTGGGCTCATGGGAGGTCCAGCGCAGTCCTACCAGGATCGGAGTGGTACCTCGCCGACCCGCTCTCTTGCCGTGTCCGATCCTGATGAATACAACCTCGCCCGAACTTCAAGGCAAATCATGTTCCCTGCTAGGCCGTGGTCCGCAGACTCCTAGTTCTTGGGCGCTCTCCGCCCCCTCTGGGCCTTCAGGAAACTCCTCGTCGACACAGCTGGGTCCACTCTCGAACTTCTGGCCGGACGCAACCCCAGCTAGGTCCCAACGATCCCCGAGCCTATCCAGGAGGTGGACAAGGAGGCCTGGGACATGCCCCGTGAAGGCCCCAAGAAACTCACATAAGACCACGAAAAACTTCAAAACAATCCCCTACTACAAGGCCCCCCCTTGAACCCCACGCGCTACGTAGGACAGGCCGAAACCCCAAGATTGCCCAGCGATCGCGCACGTTTCGCGAATTCTGTCTTTCACTCTTGCTGCCGCCCCAAGGGGTCGGCGGTGCGGCGTAAGCCAATGAATCATGTTCCCTGCTAGGCCGTGGTCCGCGGACCAGATCGCCCATCGCTGTTGGCACATGTTGCGCATGGCTTGGGCACGTCCCCAAGGTACTCGCCTTGATCTTGGCAATGTCTCATAGATGTTCCAGGAACACCTGCAAGTTGTCCGTCGTGTCAGTGGCGGCCAGCTCCCTGGCCGCCACTGCGTGATGAAAGTGAACGATACTGGACTCAATCTGGTGCCCCCACAGATTCCAATGGTGACGAGTCAAGGGAATCCCTTTTCCCAGGGGCGCCCGAGAGGGGGGCGCCCCGGAGGGGGGGCGCAAATCATGGCCAGCGGCATGTGCGCGGCCCCCGGGAGGGGCGGGGGACCTGAGCAGGGACCGACCGTCCCGGCATTCCTATAGGCCTACCACGACATTTTCTTAGAACCCCAAAACGGTCTAATAACAAAACAGTGTTCTCAGAAGATAACCCCGATGTGTTCGAGCAAAACGGTCTCAGCCAGAAATGTTCTAAGAACATTTCGTGCAGACCACAAAAGGTTCTTAGAACATTGTTTAGTGGGCCTATAGGCAAGCAAAAACGCTTTGCCAACTCGAGGGACGCAATGAAATAAGAAGAGTCGCGCGCGTTCCGCGAATTCTGTCGTTCACTCTTGCTGCCGCCCTAAGGGGTCGGCGGTGCGGCGTAAGCCAATGAATAAGATATAAACACCGCCAAGATACCCCCCCAAAGTCATTCCCACCCTCTCGGCCGCCCCCGATTTTCTCCGTGCATCCGTCGACCTCTATGCCAGTACTGTCCGCAGCGGACGCCTTCCCCCCCCAGATCCTCTGACCTCGACCCTCGAACCCCTCTCGACCATGCACGACCCCCCCCCCCTCCGACAGCGGGGACGAACAGGTACCAAGACCTCTTCGGGGATCTACTGTCGGGGGGGCACAAAGGTGGGGTTGGGGAAAAGGTGGGGTTGACGGAAAATCGCTCCGAACGGCCCCTGGAAGAAGGAAACGCATTGAATCGGAGCATCCAGCTGGGCCCGTTCCCCAGCCCCACCTTGGGATGATCCACCCTCTACGAACCCCCGATACTGACCCGGGTCAATCCAAACCTGGGTCAGTCAGGCTTTACGGGATCCGGCAAAAAAAACCCGACAGGATCCTGCAGGATCCTGCGCCCGAGCCTGGGCCAATGCGGCCCTGGCTCTGCAGGACCCCGCGAGATCACTGACTGACTCCCATTTGCATCGACCCCGTCTCAAGGCTCCCGACCTCTGCTCCCCAGACATCTCCCAGGGTGCGTTCTGACCAGGATTTCGAGGCGACTCCAGCGGCAGCGACGCGGGCCTTCCAAACGCCCCAATGACAGGAAAACGAGGCGAGGCAAGGGAAGCGGTAGGGGCACCCTTTCCTGTTCCGAGAAGGACCAAGGGAACCTAAACTCGCGCTTCGCGCTGCGCGAAGCGCGAATAGCGTCGCGCTCTCGTGCCCCCACAGGGGGAGAAGAGGAGGACGAGGAGGAATCGGAGCCGAAGCGCGAAGCGCAGAGCACGAACAAAAACAAACGTCGCGCCCTCGAGGGCGCCCTTGAGGACGTCCCCCGTCCCTCCGGCAGGGGGGGGGGGCGCCGCCTGAGCCGCCTCCGCCGCCCCCGCCAGCCGCGGCTTCCAGCTTGGCCCTCAGGGCCTCGACCTCGGCCTTGAGGCGAGAGATCTGGGAGGCCTCGGCGGCCCCGGGGGGGGGGGGGGGCGGGGAGGCAGGCAGTCCAGGGGAGGCAGCGCGGGCGCCCAAGGCGGCGTCTCGGTGTGCGATCGGCCGCGGTGGCGGTTTGGGCACCGTCCCACGCCGCGCGCGGTGTGTCCCTCAGGGCACCACGTTGGGGACGGGCGCCTCGGACCTCGCTTCTCTTCTCTCTTCTCTCTCTCTCTCTCTCTCTCTCTCTCGGGAAGGTTTGGGGGGCGGAGACGGAGGAGGAGGAGGAGGAGGAGGAGGAGGAGGAGAAGAAGGAGGAGGACCTAAGCATCGTTGCACCGACCCCTACCTAGAGGAACATAATGCGGCATAAACATAATTATTGCATCGGAGGTCCACGCGGATGTATGGGATCGGCGATGGATCCCCCTCCCTGGCGCGCGGAGCGCACCGGCGGCGGCGCCAGCGGCGGCGCCAGAGGTGACCTCAGGGGGAAGGGGGTGCGGCGCCGATGCAAGAAATTCACGCGGACGCCCAAGAATGTATGCTGTGCCGTCTGTTCTTCTTCGAATATCCCCATGGGTGTGGCCTGGGCCCCACTGGACTATCTACCCCCCCCTAGATGGAGATATATGCAATGTCGTCTGGTTTCGAGGGGTATATGCCCAACTGGGGTGCTGAGATGGTGGGGATGGGGATCGGGATGGGTATATGGATCGACTAAACAATACTGAGGACAAGTGTAAACCCAAGACGCAGCGTCGATGTTTCAATGAACCCTCTCTCCAAGCTCCACCGTTCAAGGGGCCCTACAAGAATCTGTATGTTCATGGCAGGGAAGTGCCCCGTTCGAAGACAACCGTCTGGGAACTCCCATTTGTGCCACAACACCATTCCTGGGACTTCAGCGTAGCGAATCAACTTGACTGATGCGTCCCGGCAATCCTGAACCATGCCAGAAAACCATTCCTGGTATTTCAACACCGCAAGTCAACGCGGCTGTTGCGTCCTGGCAATCATCTTACCATAACGCGACTCCTGGGACTTCGACCATGCGGATCCTTGAAACAGTCGCAAACTGTGACAACGACTATACGCGGCGCTAAGGCGAGAGCCACATGTTGACACGCAAAAGCCATTGACCCTTGAAACTGATGCAAATTTGTGAGACGAGCGTGCGCGGCGCTAAAGCGAGACTCACCTTTTGAATACGAACCGCCTTCCATTTGCAAAACTGCTGCGAACTGTAAAGACGGATGCGCGCGACGCTGGGGCGAAAACCACATGTTGACAAGCACCCGTCCCCTATCTGGGAAACGTTCACAAACGTTTCAATCGACTGTGCGCTGCGCTAACGTGAGAATCACATCTTGATCGGCGAGAGTCACCTTTTGAAAACGGCCCGCCCTCCATCCGTGCAACTGCTGCAAAGTTCACGCTGTTCAGGCTTCAGGGGCATCAATGCCAAGGACGCCTCAGGCGAAACGCCTGGCCCGCCCTATCGACACGTCTGGGGGTGCGACAGGGAGGAGTTATTCATAAGGCGGACGAGAACTAGGCGGAGGAGGAGGAGGCGGAAGAGGAGGAGGGGGGAGGCAAGTTAGGTGCGCTCGCGTCATATCTGACATCCTACCCCTCCCTCCCATCCCTTACCATGGCGTAGATCCCCTCTCTACTCGCACAGTCGGATGTCGAGCAGGGCAATGATCCCGAAAGGGTACGCGATGCATTGTAGAGCACGGCATGGCATGGCGTAGAAGAGCACCGCAAAGCGTAGCATGTCACAGCATGGCGTGGCGTGGCGTAGTGAAGAATTGCATCACAAAGCTTTGCAACGCAAAGCATGGCATCGCACAGCGGCCCCGAACATAACATTGCATAGCATGGCGTTGAAGATCAAAGCGTAGCATGGCATAGCACGACGTGGCACTTAAGCACTGCATATCACAGCTTCAGCTGAAGGCATGGCATCGCGCAGCGGAACGCAACCGAGCATTGCATTGCATGCCGTGGCATGGCACGGGAAATGACGCCAGCGCTGCAGCGGGAGCACGATTCGGAACGAGCGGAAGCGCGGAAATGAGGCCAGCGCTGCAGCGGGAGCACGATTCGGAACGAGCGGAAGCACGGAAATGAGGCCAACGCTGCAGCCGGAGCACGATTCGGAACGAGCGGAAGCACGGAAAATGAGGCCGGCGCCTCAGCGAGAGCAGCATTTTGAAAAAAAATGCAAGCGAAAACCCAACTCCGGGGAATCCTGTGTAAAAAAACAATACGCGGGGGGGGGGGCGAACACTCCCAACCCGTCATCAGGGGAAGGAGGAGAGTAGTATTCATATTGAGTAATTGTGGAGGAGGGGGGGATGGTGTGACAGTGATGAACGACGCCGCGTCTGGCCGGGGGGGGAGTGGGCGGAGAACGGGGAGGAAGTGATGGGGACGAAGACAGCACAGCCCACCCCCACCCCTAGCCAGGACACCCACTCCCGACCTGGTGATCCAGGGGGTCCTAGCTGTGGGTGGTGTTTTTGGGTTTGCCCTGGGAGCCCCCGGAAAAACACCCCCACCCCCAGCCAGGACCCCCTGGATCATCAGGCCGGGAGTGGGAGTCCTGGCTGGGGGTGGGGGTGGGTTGTGCTGCCCGAAAGGAGGAGGTAGGAAGTGAAGGGGAGTGGTGGGAATCGGGGGGGAGAAGGCGGAGAAGAAGGATGGAACAAGGGAGGAGGGAGGGAACGCCTCCCCTCTCCTCTTCCTCCTCCTCCTCTTCCTCCTCCTCCTCACCTTCTCTCCCTTCGCCCCCGCTTCCGTATCCTGATTCCTTTTTCCTTCCCACGAACACTTAGCCCGAACGAGTTCCGCCAAACTCGTCGACTCCTCCTGGGGCGACGCCTTCGTAACATAGATCCCCTCGCCAATCTCTCTCCCCCTCCCCCCTCCACCTCGTCCTCCCTCCTCCTCCTTCTCCTCCTCGTCATCCTCCTCCGCTTCCTTCTCCTCTTCCTTCTCCTCCTCCTTATCCTGCTCATCCTCCTCCTCGTCGTCCTCCTACTCTTCCTGGCCCTCTTGCTTTCGGACTGGCACTGTGGACTCACAGGATGCGGCGCAACAAACAGTTGGTGGCCAGAAGCAGCTTCCCCGCGGCGAGAGCGGTCAAGACCCTCGCTCCCAGATCCTATTCCGCTGGGGTTCACACGGTGAAGCAATCCTCCGATACTTCCGAATTCCGTTCGGGAGTCCGCAAACACGGCAAGGGGAATTGTGCAAAGAGGCAGGTTTCACCAGGCAAATCTCTCGCAACCACGTCAAAACATTGCCTTGGGCGCTCCCTCTGACCAAAGCCCGCTGGGGTCCGTCTGGGCCTGGTGTGTGGATCCGGCTGTGGCCTCCTGCAGCTCCGCCAGCTTGGCTTTGTTTCAACATGTCGACCCTGGTAATCGAAGTGAGGTGTTCAAGCACTTTCGTAGAGTAACCGTCCCGAGCCAACTCCCGACGAATAAAAACGAGAATGATGCCATGACACGATCCAGGAATTCCGGAGTATCGAGCGGCCCTCGGTTCTGCAGCCCGTGTGGAACACTAGGCTACTTGGAAAGCCAGGAGATCTTGGGAATCTTGGAGCGAATCATTACAGTGGATGCCAGTCCACAAGAAACCGCCCACAAGAAACCCAGGACGCCCATTGGAACGTCGCGCTTTCCATAGCAGGGTGTTTCTTGGCATGGGCCCCCACTGCATCAAAAGACTTCTTGCTCCTCTGACCAGCACGCCCACCATGGAAGCTGCGCCCGAACAGCCCCCCACGGCAGGCTCGTGCGGCGCCGGCGCGCGCAAAGGATCTTGTCACCGGGTCGATCGTTCAACCTTGAACCGATCGCGGCCCCGATGGTTCAAGGTTGAATTCAATCGGGTCCGATGGCGCCACTATGTCCCTCGGTGCTTCCGCGTCGGAGAATTCGACCTTGAAGCGACATCGCCGCATGAACCTACCGTACTCGGTTTTGGCTTCGTGGTCAGCAGCCATACTGACCAACCAATGGGCAGAGGGGAAAACCGTGCCCATCCTCGGTCTGGGAACCTCCTCTTCTTGGCAGGTGGACGTGCGCAGAACCCCTGGGTTCTCAACTCGATGGCGTCATCGACGAAACTCGCCAGACCTCGGCGTCTGAATCCCTCCTGGTCATTCTCCTCCTCCTACTCCTCATCCTCTCGACGTGTTCCGCAGCACCCTGACGGCTTCGGAGAAGCGCGGGGCAAAAAGCTGCCCAGGCCCGAACGCGGTCAGGGTCTTGGGCGGCGATACATGGGGGGACAGCGAGGACTGGAGAAGATCGATTGCTGCGGTGAGGGCGACAAGCACACACACACACACACACACACCACGCGTGCGCGCACACACAAACACACAAGCACACAAACTAAAACACACGCACACACACACACACACACACACACACGCACGCACACACACACACACACACACACACACACACACACACACACACACACACGCACACACACGCGCGCGCGAGCGCGCGCAGACCTTCCTCCCTGGGCGCGCCACGAGCGCGCCCAGGGAGGAACGTCGGCTCGCACCGCGAACGATCGTTGAGCCGAGCACCAAGTCCGAAGAAGCGAACACACCCCGACCACCAGAGGCGCCCGTCGGGCGAGAGGGGGCCTCCTCGTTTTTGGTGGCGGTCACCTTGATCGCCTTGGCGCGGTTGGCGTATCGCAGGGTTGACATGGTCTCCTGGGGGGGGGAGGGGAGGGGAGGACATGCGGGGAGGAAGGACAGGAGGAGGCGGAGGAGGAGGAGGACGACGATGGGGAGGAGGAGCAGGAGAGAGTGCAAGGAGGCGGGGGAGGAGGAGGAGGAGGAGGAGGAGGAGGAGGAGGAGGAGGTTCTGGCAGAGCTGCTGCCCACGTTCAGCACGCGCCCTGTCCCCGACCCCCCAGCAAGCTCTCTCTCTGATGTGGAGAGGGTGAGAAGGAGAACGGCGCATCGAGGGCATCGGGACACGTCACTTGACAGCGCCCGCACCCTTCGCGGTAGGAGGGGGAGGGATGGTTGTGTTACTTGCCCGCGAGGGCAGAACGGAACGCTCGACAGGGCGTGGGTGAGAATGCTCTCGGACAGCGCCAGCCCTGGCACGTCTGCCTACACCACGGACACCCGTGCGAACAGCGGTACCAAGCACGAACCGGGACCGACCTCCCGTCCATTCCCCGTGAACTCCCAGTAGCGCCACCACCCAACACCCCACAAAAACGGAGCGTTGCCCAGCGCCTGCACCCATCATGCACGGCGTAGCGGCATTCCCCCCAGCGTCATCCCAGAGGGGCAAGGTGCTTCGGCCTCATGGAGATCGAAGAGAGCGCCGTGTGTCCAGCAGGCACATGAGCATTGAGGGCATGGCAGCGATCGGTGGGTGCTCGGCTCAACCTCGCCTGCCACTGGCCCTCGGATTCACACTGTTACAACAAGAAGGGCGTGGAGCATGGAGCATGGACTGGCCTGCCCCCGAAAAGGCGGGTACGAGCTACAAGATGAGGGAAGGAGGAGGAGGAGGTGAGGAGAAAAAGGTGGGAGCAGGGGGAGGGAAACAAACAATGTGCCTCCAGGAGGCGACCAACAACAATGAGAAGCAACCCCACCATCCAACACCCCGCAACACGGAGCGTTGCCCAGCACCTGCGACCCAAAACAAACAGCGTACCAGTACGGCAAAGCCGCATGATAAGGACGACCGATAAGGAGGCAAGGGCCTTGGAAGGCTGATCGTTTCTCCTCCTCCTCCTCCTCCTCCTCCTCCTCCTCCTCCTCCTCCTCCTCCTCCCGCTCCTGATCCTACTCCTACTCCTCCTCCTGCTCCTGCTCGCGCTCCTTCTCCACCTCCTCCTCCTCCTCCCTCCTCCTCCTCCCTCCTCCTCCTCCTCCTCTCATCATCATCATCATCATCATCATCATCATCATCATCATCAGCAGCAGCAGCAGCAGCATCAGCATCATCATCATCACATCATCATCATCATCATCATCATCAGCATCATCATCATCATCATCATCAGCATCAGTATCAGTATCATCATCAACATCATCATCAGCAGCACCACCATCATCACGATCATCATCATCATCATCATCATCATCAGCATCATCATCATCATCATCATCATCATCATCATCATCATCATCAGCATCATCAGCATCAGCAGCAGCATCATCATCAGCATGAGCACCAGCATCATCATCAGCAACATGATCAGCATCATTAACATCAGCATCAGCATCAGCATCGTCGTCGTCCGTCATCATCATCCTCATCATCATCATCATCATCAGCATCATCATCATCATCAGCGTCATTACCACCATTCCCATCATCATCAGCAGCATCATCATCAGCAGCAGCACTATCATCACTATCATCACCAGCATCATCATCAGCAGCATCATCACCATCTTCATCAGCATCATCATCATCAGCAGCAGCATACTCGTCAGCAGCATCATCAACAGCATCGTCACCACCACCACAACCACCACCGTCATCATCAACACCATCAGCATCACCATCATCAGCACCACCAGCATCATCAGCATCATCCCCATCATCAGCCTCAACACCATCAGCATCATCATCATCATTGTCATCATCAGCAGCATCATCATCATCATCAGCATCATCATCATCATCATCATCATCACCAGCAGCAGCAGCAGCAGCATCAGCATTGTCCTTCTCCTGGCCCTCCTCCTCCTCCTCCTCCTCCTCGTTCTCCTTCTGCTCCTGCTGCTGCTGCTGCTCCTCCTCCTCCTCCTCCTCCGCCTCCTCCTTCCTCCTCATCCTCCTCATTCTCCTCCTCCACCTCCTCCTCCTCCCTCCTGCTCCTGCTCCTCCCTCCTCCTCCTCCCTCCTCCTCCATCCTCCTCCCTCCACCTTCCTCCTCCTCCTCCCTCCTCCCTTCTCCCTCGTACCCTCCTCTCCTCCTCCTCCTCCTCCTCCTCCTCCTCCTCGTTTCACCTCCTTCTCCTCCTCCTCCTCCACTCCTCCTCCACCTCCCCTCCTCCTCCTCCTCCTCCTCCTCCTCCTCCTCCTCCTCCTCCCTCCTCCTCCTCCTCCTCCTCCTCCTCCTCCTCCTCCTCCTCTCCTCCTCCTCCTCCCTCCTCCTCCTCCTCCTCCTCCTCCTCCTCCTCCTCCTCCTCCTCCTCCTCCTCCTCCCTCCTCCTCCCTCCTCCACCTACCCCTCCTCCCCATCTTCTCCCCCTCCGCCTCCTCTGCCTCCTCTCGGGGAGCCACCAGTCTCCTTGTCCTCCTCTGAGGGGCCACCCCGCCGCAGCCGCCGCCGCGAAGGATCCTCGTAGTTGCACGCGGCCGGCGACAGCGCCGCAAGCATCGTGCACAACGAGTTGCCGCCCAGGGACTCCTGAGGCGCCGCTCACTTCGCTCGCATGGGCGCCCAGGACTGGACAGGGCTGGCCCGAGCCCCTCCTGACTCGGGGGAGCGGGGCGGAGAAGGGAAGGGCGAGGAGGAGACGGCGAGGAGGGAGCGGCTAGGAGGGATGGGCAAGGTGGGAGGCGGCGAGGAGGTATCGGCGAGGGGGGAGGGCAAGGAGAGGAGGGCCCACGCCCCTCTGGACCCGGGGGGCGGACATCGGAATCGAGCTGTCAGACAAATCCGCAGTCGTCTTCACTCCCTCCCTCCCTCCCTCCCTCCCTCACTCCCTCCTCCCCAGACTGTTTCCCCCTTCCTGGGAGGACAGGGGGGGTGGAGCGAGGCGGATCTGTGCGGTTCCCCCCCCCCCCCTCGGAGAGGAGACGTGTGCGAGGCGGGGGGTCATCCATAGACACCGCCTGGGGGATCCATCTTCGGGGACCTCGGCAGGCGGTGGGTACGGATACACTTGCCCGCCCCAGGGCCCATCCACATCCACCGCCTGCCGAGGCCACAGAATATCGATCCCCGAGGCGGTGGTCATGGATAAATCCCGCCTCGGAAAGGGAAGCGAAGAGGCACGCGGGCATACTAGAATCCCCCCAGCCCTTTGGGCTAAGGCGGTCTAACGCCATCATTACTTCCTCTTCCAAAGACCCTCGTCCTTTCGTGGAAAGGTAGCCTCCCCCTCCCCTCCCTGAGATTTTTGGGGCGGGCCGCGAACGGTCAAGGTGCCCCAGATGGCCCAAGATGGCTCCTAGAGGGCGTCCGATGCTCAAAGATGGCCTCCAAGATGGCTCAAGGCAACCGCGGATGGTTCAAGATAGCTTCAGATACCTCAAGGAGGCCCAGCGAGTGCCACAATACGGTTCTGAGTGCTCCTGGAGTCCCTCAGGACCACCCCAAGAGGCCAAAATCGTTCAACAACCTGAGGAAAGTCACTGATTGTTGACGTCTCGCCTTTTCGGCTCCGATGCGCTGTGCAGGCCTGGAGATGGCCCCAAGATTGCCCAAGAGAGGCCCCCAGACGGCCCTAAGAGCGCCTAAGAGCAGCCCGAGAGCGCCCCAAGAGGGCTCCGAGAGGCGATTTTGATGGCCCCTGGGGGGGGGGCAGGGAGGGCAAAAGTCGAGGACCACCCTCTCTATTGATCGATGACCTGCAAGATGGCCCCGAGAAGCCAGCCAGGGCTCACAAAGGACCCCATAGAAGGCTCCAAGAGGGCCCCAAGAGGGTCAAAAGATCCCAAGAGGACCCCAAGATGCCCCAAAAATCCTCCTCCTCCTCCTCCTCCTCCTCCTCCTCCTGCTCCTCCTCCTCCTCCTCCTGCTCCTCCTTCTCCTCCTGCTCCTCCTCCTCCTCCTCCTGCTCCTTCTCCTCCTCCTCCTCGTCCTCGTCCTCGTCCGCCTCCTTTCTCCCTTGCCCCCACGCGGGCTCCAAGAATGGCCCGAAGAGGCCCTCCAGGGCGACCCCTTTGCTCCCAAAGATCTCTCTGGTCACCTACTCGCCCCTTTTCCCGTCAACTCTCTTTGGCAGGGTTTCCGAATGAGCGGGTTGGGATACGCAAAACGTGAAGCATACTGCGAAGGCCAATCGCGAATACGTAAAAGAAACAGCGAGAGGATACCCTATCATGTTGGGGATGACGACAGAATAAACCAGCGCGGAACGGCCGTGCCAGGAGGGCGAAGGAACCAGCGCCGTAGACAGCGACGCCGAGAGAGCCCGGTGCCGAATAGGTCACAAAGACATTCCTCGAACCCACGCTTTCGTGACCTCGCGGGCGTCTCATGGGTCACAGGGGCTTTTTCCAATCCAGCCAGGTTCAGTGGAGGTGGGAAGGGCGAAGAGCCAGGGGGAGGGCACCGAGGGCGCGTACGCGCGTGGAGGCACGGGTGTAAGCCCTCGTCCGCGGACGGCCGACCTGGGCCACCCTCTGGAAAAGAGGGGGGCTGACAGCGAAGGCCATGGATCCATCGATGCATGGCCCTGGATCGATTGATCGAGCGAGCGAGCAGTCGGGGAGACAACAGAAGGCAAGACAAGGCAGAACAGGGCAAGACAGGACAAGACAAGATATCGCAGAGAAGCTCCAGATCGGGATCGGCGTGGGACCGACGAGATCCGCGCGCTGCCTATGCACCCTGACCTCTCTAGGAGCACAAGTGGCCTGTCGGGAGCAACCCGCGCTGCCCCATCCCACGCGGCCCCCCCAGACGGGCCTGCAGTCAGGGTGTGTCCAGCAAGGAACCAGCATCAAATCTCCGCCGCAATTTCTCGGATAACCTCAAGAAGTCGAACAAAGGCCCTCTCGGCCTATGCTTCAAAAGGGGGAAGTAGTAGAAGCTGCCTGGGAGTGTCCGAGGTGCTCACTAAAACCTTGCATTTCCTCCCTTCCCGCCGCCGCCGCCAACACGACCATCGCGACGGCCTCGGCCACGACCCCGCCTCGTCCCGCATTTCGTGCTGCCGCACCACGCGGGCGAACTGCAGCACGCACGCGTGAGGTCGGGATTAGCATTGGTCGAGACTTCTGGGGGCCCGCATTACAACGGGAGCCGGCCAGGAACGCAGCCACGGGGCGGCCGTCTCCAGCAACACTCGGAGAAGGTCCACACGGTGCTCGAATGATACGGTAGAGGGAAACAGTTACTGAACACTCCCCCTCCCCCCCAAACTCAAAGTTGGCACGCGCGGGGGGGGACTGCGGTCGAGGTGCAACTCATCAGACCCACCGCAAACTTTGAACATTGGGGGGAGGGGGAGGCGTGGATAAATGAATGTGGCATGAGTGTTCGCTATGTGCTCCGAGGCCTGTAGGTGGGTTGAAAAGGCAATGGCGAGTGCGAGAGGAGGTTGGAGCGGAGGTCGTGGTAGCTCGCACAATCGACCTCGCCCAGGCATGCGTTGCGACCAGGCTCGGCGAACGTAATGCTTGACGACAGTCCCGTGGGGCCGCGTCCACCTCGAAGTGGGGCGTGTTTGCGTGTTTCGCGATTTGAGTTTTTCTTCGGTTAGGTGGTTGGGCTTCCTCGGCTTGCTGGCTCTTTCCTCGGTTAGGGGGTGTCCACTCTGCAAGCGCCGGCTGGCTGTAACTTGTCAAGCAAATGCTCTCTGGCACAGGGTGCACGCGTTCGTACAGGTAAGTCTGTTAGCTACATTACGACCATGGTGTCGGCGTCTCAGGCGTGCAGTAAGGGTGCCAAGTGTCGAGAAGGAAGCCCCGCATTCCACTCCATCCTCCATGTGTGCACATGTGAACGCCCTCCCGACCACTGCGACACCCTCGTCGCAACCCTTCTCCTCCAACTCACGCTCGAGAGCCACTGGCGTGACTGCATGCAGGAAGACCGACACGTGGTATTCACCGACATCGATATCTCTAGATGCACGCACTCTCGAAACAACTCTTCCTCCAATAGCTTCCACGGTGCATGTGCCAACTCCGCAGACATATCGGAATGGCCTGCGAGGGCTACAGAAGCAGCCTGGAGGGCTGAACCCATCTGGAATACACCAGGGAAAGCATGCGGGGCAAGGCCAGCCTCAAACGAACACGGCTCGCAGTCATCAGACTCGAACTGAGGTAACGTGAGCAGCACGGCCCAAGCATGCTTATATATCAACGGATGGGTGGCACAAGCCTGGCACCACGACAGTAAACGGAGGTGCAGCTCGACGGAGCAGGCCGCGACGCCCCAACAAGCGAGGACATTAGTGTTCGAGAGCCTGTTCTAATGAAAAAGGCTCCACCACGCATAGAAACCCTGCCGACCTTGGCAATATGAGCGCCCATACGACTGCACTGGTGATCGAACAAGCCGAAGCACTCCATGGCCGACAGCATAGTTTCTGCATCCACGTCAAGAAAAGCGTGCGTGCGCATCGCCTGGGGGTCTGCAAGGACCAGACCCCGCCCAGCAAAAAGGAGGCCGAGCTCGTAATAATGATGCGCCTCTCCATCTCGCGTGATGTCGTCTGGGCAGGTGGGACCACGGGGCCCAGGTAGCGTGCGACGTCCTACACAGGTCCATGCACAAATCCTTGCTGGCCAAGCTATTCGTTGCAAGCCGTCGCCTCAAGACAATTCAAAATACAACATCGTCACCGGCTTCCCCCTGTTATGCCTCATGCCGTCTATGGAAAGGGCGGTGTCCAAGAGGTCATCCGACTAATTGAGCTGCCTCGCGATGTCGTAGCTGTGCACCTCAAAGCAAGGACGCACCCGACTTAGAGTCCATCGCAGCCGCCCAGTACGCTTCAGATCTGGTGAGATTCCCTAGGAAGGCGCTCACGATGAACGGGTCGCACATCAATCCTCCCATTCCAGGTCATACAGAACATACTTCCGTCGCCCATCATATCAATCAAGCTGTATCCGTAATGAACCTTGCACTAGTCCCAGCCATCTGGTTCAACCCATTCAATGCACAACCGTCGAAGGCCGGCCAAGAGACACTGCAGAAGGCATTGGAAAGGTCCTTCATCGTGTGGGCGACACTGATACTCGATTTTCGTAGCCGCCAGGATAAACAACGCGTGACACAGGATGGCCCCCTCCCATCTCTTGTGAGTGGCAAGCCCATACGCATGGGGTGCTACTCGAACCGAAAGGCGGTTGGCAAAGAAGCCCCTGCTGATATACGGCAACGAATGGATGACCATCTTGCCCAACGCTTCACGTTTTTATCTTCCCTCAGCAAGTCCATATCAAACGCTGCGAGACCAATAGAGGTGCCATATGCGTTTTCTCTGATCGTAAACCGGCCACCAGGGAAATCACCTTGGACTGGTCCATATTCACGTCCCCCTTCCCGAATCCAAGACCACGGTAGCCCATGCTAGTAGCCTTGTCTGCAGAAAAGCAAGGGTCCCAAAGCTAGGCGGGAGCAGTGCTAAGTGGGACGGCACGGCGATCCGTAGTTTCCTGAAGTAAGGGGTCGGCAGCAGTCGGGGAGGAGGGGTAGGAGGGAGGAAGGAAGGGAAGAGGGAGGAGGGAGCGAGGGGAGGGGGGGCAGGGAGAAGGGATGGCGATGAGGGAGGGGGGGTGGAGGGCGAGGAGGGAGGGGCAAAGAGGAGGCAGGGCGCGCGGGGGGGAAGAGGACTCTCCTCCTCGCCCTCCCCCCTGCTCCTGTGTCCCTCCTAACTACCACCTCCTCCCTCCTCCCTGCTCGTGCATCCTCCTCGATCACTAGTTTGGGCATCGTGAGGCCTGGCACACTGGCCGCGCCTTGTGCAAGGCCCCGCGGCGAACACACCCTCCCTCCTCCCCCTCCTTTCCCTCCTCCCTCCTCCCCCCTCCACCTCATCTCCTTCCCCCCCTCCTCCCTCCTGCGCCCTCACGCCCACGCCGATCCTCCTGAGAAGAGCGGCGGCGACAAGGGAGGCAGACAGAACCAGGAGGCCGACGGAGCCCTCGCCCGCGCTGATGGGCGAGGGCGGACCGACGAGAGCCCGTCGACTGCCGCGCGCGCCGGGCGGCGGGGGCGCCTGAAGCACGCGCGTGAGCTTCGAGTTCCGGTACGGGATGAACACCTGGGCGGCGACAGTCTGAGGGGCAACGGCACCCGTGGGTCGGAAGAGGTTTAGGAGGCAACTACTGGGAGGTCTTCGTCGGAAGGATTAATTCAGGAGGATCAAGCCCCATTGGGGGGCTGTTACGCCAGAAAGGGCCTCGGATTGAGCGAGACTGAGCCGGATTCAGCGGGATTAAGCGAGGTTGCTCCGGACGAAGCGGGAATAAGACGGATGAAACCAGATTTCGGACCAGGGCAAAATCTGAATGTGACCGCCCAGGGACATGCCTCCGAGAGAGGTGGGTCGACGCAGAAAGCAGGAAGGCGCCGAAGGGGAGAGCGGGCCTCCGCCGCGGCGCCCCAAGAGGGAGGGGCGAGGGAGCACCCCGCTCGGCTCCCAGAGCAGAGGAAGGCAGAGTGGGGATCGGGCGTCCAGAGCTGCCCACTCTCAACGGCAGGGACGGGCAGGGGGGGTTCGGGCTCAGGGGGGTCGGCGGCCGGGGGGGACGTGTGAAGGAGAAGGCCTCCTCAGGAGGCTCGGGAGTTCCCTTGGCCGTCGGAAGAGTTTCCCAAGCCTTCCCCGAAGACAGAAAACTCCTCAGAAGGCGCTGAGGGCCTCTGAGAAGTCCCGTCGCCCTTCTGAGGGGGCCTTCTCCTTCTCACTTCCCCCCCTCGCTCGCCGCCGAGAGGTGGGGTGGGGTGGGGGGGGGGGGGCGACATCGAACCGGAATCGGCGACACGTCGCCGAGAGATTGGCGACGCAGGCCCCCGTTGTACGCCCCCTGAGATCCTTCAGCTCAGCGATCTGGCCCCTGAGCGTCTCCATGGCGACTGGGGAGGCGAGGATTACTGAACTGATGGATCTGGGTTTCCTGGACTACCGAAATCCATATTTTCCCCATATGTTTCCCATATTTTCCCTGATGGATCTGGGTTTTCCAAAATACCGAAACAAATACACACAAAGAAAAAGATTCCCCATATGTTCCCATATTTTCTGCGTTTTTGTCTTCCCCCCCACTTCCCATATTTTCCCATATTTTCCTGGGGGTCGGCGATAAATTGTGTCTGTGTGTTTGTTCCCCTCCTGACATGTACCCATACGGCTGCGCTTCCCTCGGCTTCCTTTACTTCGACCTCCTGGGAGGCCCTCGTCGCCACCGCTGGATTCGCCTCGAAATCTTGGTCGGGTCGCACCCCCGGAGAGGTCCGGGGAGTGGCGGTATCGCTACCTTTCGGTTTCCTTACTCTCACTTCCCGCTCTCACTTCCCCTCTCGGCGCGACGCCGAAAGCACGGCGACCCCGATGATCTGCTGTGTGGGGCTCTCGGCCGAACCAAACCTTCGGGGCCCGACTCGGGGACCTACGACGGGAGAGGGGGTGCCCATCCTCAAGATGGATACGTCCGAACGAACAGCCCCCCTGGGGAGCATCCCCCAGTTCAAATAATTTTCTGAGCGGTCTGACTTTCCATAGGGACCTCCTCGGATTGGGGGCGAGGAATCGCCTGCGAACTGGGGCGGCGAGAACCCGGTCGGGTCGGGCGAAATCAATCCCGACGGCTTCCTCGAGTTCGACCTCCAGTCTGGCCCCAGGGCCATCAAGAACGAGTCCACGGCGAGAAGCGGGGCCCAAGGCCATCAAAAGTGGGTCCACGGCGAACAGCTACGCTCGGGCAAGGGGTCGGCCAGGCTGCCGGCACATCCCCGGGCCTTCTTTCCGTTCGCGCACTCCACAAGGGCGTTGATGACGTTCCCGAGGGCGCTCAAGCTTTTGTTGATGTTTGCCCCCTCCTGAGGCATGGAAGGAATCTCGAGAACAGGCAACAAGTTGATCAAGGAACGACTGTTCACTATACATCAAGCTTTCACGCCTGCACGTGTACGTGATCATGGGTACTGGGCTTCTGACACAATAAACCAAACAGTTCTGAATGTGTTGCAGCTTGCGCGAAGGAGTGGCGTCAAGAGACAAGATAGCCCACAATGCAGCCCCAATGCAGTCATCTCCGTCTCTGGTCAACAGCTACGCAGCGCAGGCACGCTTGCCCCCGCTGGCTCCGCCCATCGCCGCACGCGCCCGCGCCTGCTACCAGAAGGCTACGCGGTGCCACCCTCCGAGCTGCCGCCCAGCGTCGCACCCAAGCGTCTGCTCGCACCAGCACGACGACGACACGCTCCAGGATGCCGAGACGGATCCAGAACGTGGTGACGGGGGGTGCCCCAGAGGCCCAAGAAGGCAGGAAGACACCCAAACTCTCGCTTTCGTCCGCATCCTGGCCGTCCTCGTCGCCTGACAAAGGACGACGACGACGACGACGACGACGACGACGACGACGACGACGACGACAACGACGACGACGACGACGACGACGACGACGACCCCAGCGCTGCTTTCCGACACCGCGTGGGCCCGCGGTGGCAGTTCCGGGGCCGCTGGCCCTCGGAGGCCTCCGCAGGCCTCTCGGGGCCCTCCCTGCCATGCCGTGCCGGTGCACCCGTGGGGCCCCCGGCCACGGATCTCGGCGGCGAGCCCCCAGGGAGGGGGGGGAAGCGAGAAGGGCGCGGGCCTTCTCAGAAGGCTCGGAGGCCCCCGGCCTTCTCGACTGCAGGATTCAGTTGCCCCACAATGCTTCGTCGAGCCTGCGGAAAATGCGTGGCAGGTCCCCTGGATGTGGGAGCATTCCACGTATGTTGGGGGCCGAGCCCTCCCCGAAGACACACAGAGCACTTCTCGGAGGGCGCGCGAGGGCTCCTGAGAATTCCCGCCGCCTTCCGAGAAGGCGCCTGCGAAAAAAACGCACGGGCTCCGTGGAAAAACACACTCACCCACAAAAACAAAAACAACAAAAACACACAATACACATAAACAAACAAACAAACAAACAAACAAACACACACACACACCAAATACACACACACAAACACACACACACACGCATAACACACACACACACAAACATACACACAAGAGCACACACACAATAATACACACAAACAAGAGCACACACACAAGAACACACACACACACACACACGCACACACAAAAAACACCTCCCGTCCTCGCCCCCCCGCCGAGTGGAGGCGTGAGAGGCACCGTGGCCGCCACCCCCAAGCGGGGCACAGCCAGGAGAACGCTGGAGGGGCGCCGGGCGTCGGCCCGGGGACAGCCACGCGCCGACCCCAGGACACGCAGAGGACGACAACGACGAGGAGGAGGGCACGAGCACGGAGGCGGAGGCAGAAGACAAAAAAAAAAACAGAGGAGAGGGAAAGGCGCACGGGTCAGCACACCGGCGCTCGTGCCCGCGCGGCACCGCGGGGATCGGTCAGCCTCGAGCGATCTGCGACTTCTTTCCGATCGCCAGGTCGTTCCGCATTGGCCGACTCGGGGCCGAGGGCGGCGTTCCACCTTCAGCGCCCGCGGCGGGGTCGCGGGGATCATCGGCACGGCACGAGCCTGCCGCACGGAGCATCTTTGCCAACACGCTGCACTCGTCGCCCTCTCGCTGCAGCCTCTGCGCCATCACCGCCGCCACCGCCGCGGCCGTCGTGGTCGTCGCCGTCGCCGCCGCCGACGCTGTCGTTCAGGGGACAAGCACCGCTGTTCCCCAAACCTCTTCAGGGCTCATTTGTTTTGAAAGGCGCTTGGGTATTTGTCCTTCCGTTTTCCATGTTTCGCTTACAACTCGCTCGACCAGAACCTGTTGTAAAACGCACCCGCGCGAATTGGTGTCAAGCAGACGGCATTGTGATATCTACCACAAAGATTTGAAACGCAATGAAATCGGGAAGAGCACGGGCAATCTGACAAAAACCGGCGCTCACAACATATGGGAAACGGGCGGACCTGACAATCTGACAAAAACCGGCGCTCACAACATATGGGACCCGGGAAGAGCCGGGCGGACCTGACAATCTGACAAAAAACGGCGCTCACAACATATGGGAAACGTCGGTCTTCAAAACGGAAGAGAAACACACCCTCAGCGTAGTTGGTAGCATCTGAGCTCCAGGGTGCGATCTGGCCGTGGCGACGAGGGGGGCAGCGGTACCAGTATCTCTACCTCCTACGAGTCTCCGTTGGAGACAACTTTCTTCAAATCGGCGGCGAGCGAGGGGGAAGTGAGAAGAAGAAGGCCTTCTCAGAAGGTTCGGAAGTACGCCGCCTTCTGAGAAGTTGTTTGTCAAGCCTTCTCCGAAGACAGAAACAACTTCTCTGAAGGCGCGAGGGCTTCTGAGAAGTCACGCCGCCTTCTGAGAAGACCTTTTTCGTCTCACTTCCCCCCCTCGCTCGCCGCTGATCCTCCGAGTCTCCGTTGGAGAGACAACTTTCTTAAAATCTATAGCAGGCTTGCCTGCATGCATAGGGGGAGGGCGGCGTGGCGAGGCCGGAAAGCAAATCCGCACTTCGCGCAAGTCAGGACTCGCCTGCACGCCTCTTCGGACCAGCGCTGCACGGAACGGCAGCGGCGGGGGAGAGGGGAGGAAAGCCACGCTGGCCCAAGGTGCCCCCAGGCTTTCCAAGGAGGCCCCCACGGCCTTCAAGGCCCCCCTCACGAGGCCCCCAGAGGGACCCCAGGGGCTCCCAGGTGGAGCAGAATGCTGGGGGCACCTTGGGCCAGGGACACCTTGGGGGAAACGAACGATGACATGAACATCAAAACGCGGAGGTCCGAGCGGATTTCTCGGTTCCTTGCTGGACCCCCCTCCCTGGCGCGCGGAACGCGCCAGGGGCGGCGCCGGAGGCGCCGCCGGGGGGCCCAGCGCGGATCCGAGAGATCCGCGCGGAGCGCCATGAGTTTATGTTGATAGCGCTTTTCTTCTTCGACGTTGGCAGTACACGTCGGTCGGAAGAAGTAGGTAGAAACATGGAGTAGGAAGGCGGATTCAGTTGATTGGGTCCAGGCCCCCCCAGGGAATAACAAAACACAGCAGAAGCGTGTCGATTCTTGAAGCAGGAAGGCGCTTGAAGCAGATCGGGATCTGGACATCCAAACATGCCTACTGTCAACGACCGGCGTGTACACCCCCCCCCTTCGAGTCTCCGTTGCCGTCCCCGCCGTCACCGTCGCCGCCGGCGCTGCCGTCGTCGGGGCGGCCGCCGCCCCCGCCGTCGCCGACGAACCGCGAGGCCAGCCGGCGGCCCCCCCCCCCCGAGGGCGCACGGCCGCGGCGGCCGCGGCGGGTCCTTCAAGGTCTGGCCGGACGCGCCCGTGCCCTCGGGGCCGCTGTCTTCTCCGACGTTCGGACAGCGGTTGGGGGAACGAAGGATGACATGGGCATAGAAGCTCGAAGAGCGAAGAGCGCCATAAGAAGAACGGCATGAGAACGAAATGATCAGGGGAACGAAGACCGAAGAATGGCATGGGCATGAAAGCCCGGAAGTCCGCGCGGCTTTCTTGGATCCGCGCTGGACCCCCTTGGCGGCGCCTTCGGCGCCGCCCCTGGCGCGCTCCGCGCGGGGGGGGTGTCCAGCACGGCTCCACGAACTCCGCGCGGGCCTCCGAGTTTTTTGTGTGTGTATGTGTCAGTGTCCGTTTCCCGAGCTTGGGCGGCGATGGCTCGGACGGGGCCACGACGACTACGACAACGACGGGGACGGCATCGGCGACGGCGAGAAGGCAACGGCGAAGATGGCGACGACAACGGCGGCGATTGCATCGGCAACGGCGGCGACGATGATCACCTCAACCGGCCCGGTCACGACCTCGACCACGACGACGGCGACCACCGCCATGACAATGACGATAAAGACCACGACACCAACGGCGACGGCGGAGGCGACGGCGACAACGATGGAGGCGGCGACGGCGACAAAGATAGCGGAGGCGAAGACGACGACGATGGTGGCGGCGGCGACGACTACGGCGAGGGAGGAGGAGAAAGGGACGATAGAAGAGGAAAGGACGATGGAGGAGAAGGAGGGACTGTTCTGCTTGGACTTCTTGACTCAGGACCCAGCCTTCGAAGTCATTCACCAAGGCCTCACCGAGTGAATATGCTGGGACGCTCTCCCCCCCGCGAAGCCCTGCGTCTCTACGAGCCGTGGAAATGCCAGTGCACGCAACTGCGAGAAGCCTGCCATCAAGTGTGGCACGTGTGCGACGTACCGCTCCTCCTCCACCGCCACCCCTCCCGCCAAGGGAGGGGGAGAGAGAGAGAGAGAGAGACAAAGACCACCGTCCGTGATTGCTCCTCTGCAGAAGACTCCACATAGGGGCGAGATTTCACAAAAGAGAGAAGCAGTCCTCCCCGTCCTCCCCCTCCCCACCCCTGCCCCGGCCCCACCCGGCAGTACAACAAATAACGATCTCAAGGCTGCGCGGGATAGATCGTTTTCTCAGGCGCTATTGGTGCGCTTTCGGCGTTCACGTCGCCAATTCACTGGCCTGCGCTAAAATGGCGATGGCCCTCCCTCCTGCCAGTACGCTCGCGCACGAGCAAGGAAGGGGAAAGGAAGGTACTGCCCGACTGCGCCGGTCCACTTGGAGGAGCCAGCGCTGCACACAAGATAAGCTGGGACCGAAAAACATCTTCTGGCGAAGGACCCAACCATGTGCAATTGTGCGTTCCGTCGTGGTGGGTTTCGCCTTCGATCTCCTTATGTGGACACGAAGCGTGTGCAGGTTGCCGGAATGGGGCGGGGCCGCCATGCGGGCGCTGCCACCGAGGCCTGAGGTAAAGCCCCCTCATGGGGCCACGAAACGTGTAAGGTGCCGAAATAGGGGTGACGCCCACCTGCGGGCTGCGTCACCGAGGCCTGAGGTGGAGCTTCGTATCTGGGCACGAAGAAAGTGAGGGGTGTGCCGAAACGGGGGTGACGGCCACCTGCAGGCTGCGCCACTGGGACCTTCGGTGAAGCTCCCTATGGGGCCACGAAACGAATGAGGGGTGTGCCGAAACAGAAACATGTGGAGGGCACAATTTGATGGGATGAGGGAGGCAGGAGAGGAGGAGGAGGAGGAGGAGGAGGAGGAGGAGGAGGAGGAGGAGGAGAAGGAGGAGGAAGAGGAGGAGGAAGGACGCGGGGCGCTCTCTGTTCAAAACGAGGACCCAGCACCACAAGATGGCGGGGAGTACATGCTTGGGTCCCAAAACTTGCTCCATCCCTGCCCTGGCCCCACCCTCGGTGGTTCACAGATTGGGTCCTGAGGGATGGGGCCCTTGGGACAGGCAGGGATGCAAGGGTGGACTTACACCGTTTGAGGCACCCCGTCCTCAGGACACCATCCCTGAGGACCCCATCCTCGATCCACTGACGCCCGGCGGGGCGCACCCTCCCGGGGTGGGAACCCCGTCGGGGCCGACGCGCGCAAGACCTGCCAGCGGGACCCGCGCCCGCTGCCGGCCCGAGCATCATCGTTCGGATGCTGCTGGAAGTGCCCGTGGCCCGAAATGCCCCCAGGATTTCCAAGGGGGGTACCCTCGGCCTCCAGAGCACCCCTCCAAGAGGGTCCCAGGGGCTCCGAAATCGAGCCCACCCCCGAAAGGGGAGGGACAGGGGACAACCCTTCGACCTTTGAAGTAGGAAGGCCCCTGAAGCAGACTGGGATCCGGGAATCCAGGAATTTGTGATGTCCATAACCGAGATAGCGGAGCGACGGAAGCTGCCCGGAAGTCCTTCGAGGGAGCTCTGGCAGCTCTGGGAAGGAGATTCTGGAAAGCCTGACGGCACACTGATCGAGAAACACTCAGAAAAGGCCCTCGTGGACGCGTACACGCTGCGGCTTTCAGCCAACCCGCTGCGGGGATCCTGGAGCGAGGCGGGGAACGAGCTCTGGGGCTACCCTTCCTTGCCGGCCTCTGATCTGGAACCCTCCTAGCCCTCCAATAAGGCCAAAGAAGAATGACATAAACAGAAAAATTCAGAGGTCCGCGCGGACTTCTCGGATCGGCGCTGGACCCCCCTCCCTGGCGCGCGGAGCGCGCCAGGGGCGGCGCAGGAGGCACCGCCGGGGGGTCCAGCGCGGATCAAAGAAATCTGCGCGGACCTCCGAAATTTACTGATTATGCCACCCTTCGTGCCCCTACTCCTAGCTCTCCGAGGAGCTACCCGGCAATGCCTGAGTCGTGAGGACAGATGCCCGTGGGCACACCGTCGTGGGGGCGCGTGACGGCGGGGCCCCCCTCCTGGCGGGGCCGTCGTGAGGACAGCTGCCCGTCGTGAGGACAGCTGCCCGTCGTGAGGACAGCTGCCCGTGGGCGCACCGGCCCACGGGCTGCCCGTCGTGGGGGCGCGGGACGGCGGGCCCCCCCTCCTGGCGGGGCCGAGCCTCCCTCGCCGAATGGAGGCTCGGGAGGAGGGACAGGAGGAGGGGGAGGGGGAGGAGGAGGAGGAGGAGGAGGAGGAGGAGGAGGAGGAGGAGGAGGAGGAGGAGGAGGAGAGGAGGGAGGAGGAGGAGGAGGAGGAGGAGCAGGAAGGAGGAGGGAGGGAGGAGGAGGAGGAGGAGTGAGGGGAGGGAGAGGAGGAGGAGGGGAGGGGAGGAGGGGAAGGAGGAGGAGAGGAGGACGAGGACGAGGAGACAGGAGCAGGAGCAGAGGGAGGATGAGGAGGAGGAGTGGAGGAGGAGGAGTGAGGAGGAGGAGGAGAAGGAGGAGGAGGAGGAGGAGGAAGAGGAGGAGGAGGAGGAGGAGGAGGAGGAGGAGGAGGAACGTTTTTCGCCGTTTCAGGCTCCTGGGGGCCGTCCCTGGACCCCAGGGCCTTCAGAAAGCGAGTCCGGAGGAAGAGCTGGTCAGAGTCCCGAGGTCCAGGACGGGGAAGTAGGGGGGAGAGGCTCCTCTTACGATGTCAGCCTTCTTTGGGCCCCTCCTGCCGAGGCCCAAGGCGAGGGAAGACTGAGGGCAGGGATGGGGGGGGGAGAGCTCCTCCCCACCGATGCCAGACGGGCCCCTGGCGCAGCAGGGGATTGGCCACACGCCACGGGCGTTCTTCGTTCTCGAGTGCACCGCTGCCGCTTGCCAGTCCAGCTTCGGCCTCCAACGCACTGAGCCATAGCCTGCCCTCGCCTCCCGCGCTGAGCCTCAACCTTCCCCCTTCTCCAGTCTCCTCTGGAGAGCCGAGTCCGCACCCTCGCCGAGGGGAGGCTCGGGAGGAGGGACGGGGGAAGAGAGAGGGGAGGGAGGGAGGGAGGGAGGGAGGGAGGGAGGGAGGGAGGGAGGGAGGGAGGGAGGGGGGAGGGGAGGGAGGGAGGGAGGGAGGGAGGGAGGAGGGAGGGAGGGAGGGAGGAGGACGAGGACGAGGACGAGGGCGAGGAGGAGGAGGAGGAGGACGAGGAGGAAGAGGAGGAGGAGGAGGAGGAGGAGGAACAGGAGGAGGAGGAGGAGGAGGAGGAGGAGGAGGAGGAAGAAGAGGAGACCCGAGGCCGCGCCTTCGTCAGCGCACGGCACCCCATCGTGGATCCTCGACACACACACACAAACACACACACACACACACACCTGCCTCGAGGGATTGGCCCGCCTCTCCATGTACTCGATCAACCAGCTTTGCGCTGCACATAATTCGGGGGCGTCCAGGGGGGGGGCGTCAAGGAGGGGTGGCGCAAATCCTGAACGGCGGGATGTGCGCGGCCCAGGGGGGGGCGGGGACGTTATGAAATAAGAAAAGGCGTCATAAAATCGAAGGAGATAACATGGCCCCCGCCATGACATCCACCCCACCCTAGTCATCACCCCCTCTAGGCCGCCCCCAGTTGTCTGTTGCTACCTGTTTCGACTAACTTCCAGGATCCTGAGCGAACGTAACAAGCTTTCAGGCACACCAGTGGGTCGGGCATCGTCGACTGCATTTAGTCTCGAGGGCCTCGAGATCGGTCGCCAACTCGAGCTGTGAACGAAAACATAGGTCGACGCCCTGGCAGAGTCTGTTGACGGCACCAATGAACATCGTTAAAATGACCCGTATCCCCATGGGCGTGGCCTGGGCCCCACTGGCCGATTTACCCCCCGCAGATAGGGAACAAGGCCGGTTCCTTCGGGCTTCGAAGGGTGTATCGCCAACTGGGGTGGTAAAATGGTCGGGCTCGGGACGGGGGCGGGAATGGGGATAGGGGTCGGTTAAGCGATACTGAATGAAGGGCGAAACGAAAAGACGCCCGTCGCAAGCAACGCACAAGGAACGGCGTCGGAGGTCTGGGCTCTCCGTGCCGCCGTTCCCCATTGAGGTCCGACCTCCCCGCCGGGCGCAGCTCGGCCCAGCCTTCTGCCGCTCGGAGCCTGCCAGGTCCACGAGGTTGAGCTTGGCGAAGACGTTCTTGGACTTGTCCTCCTCGTCTTTCTGGTGCACCTCCGCGGCGAGGGCGTCTGCTTCTGGGGGCCTCGGGTCCTCTCTCGGGCCCCCAGGCGCCTCGCCTCTTGAGACCTCTGGGGGACACGGAGGAGGAGGAGCGGGAAAACCGGGCGTGCGCTGACATGGAAAACAATCAGCCCGTATAGTGAGGATGCGTGGCAAGGTTGCAAGGGCTTTGGAAGGCCATGCCGCCACTTTGCGAGCGGGGCGCGGCCAGCGAAAGCAGCCAAGGATAGGCCGAATGGGGAAGGACGCAACGGCAACCCTTGGAAGCTGCTCATCCTTACTATGCGGGCCGATTGTGCGAATCCGTGGATCAGGCGCGTGGGTGCCAGAGCAACAGATCGGGGAAACAAGTGGCACGCGTGCCATGGCTCTTGCACTGAAAGAAAAAGGGAGGAGGCGGAGGGGGCGCGCTGGCTGGTGGATGGGGTGATAGAAGGGGGCGCGCGGGATGGGGTGGCGGTGCCGTGCCGAAATTAAACGATCGGGGCGGGGGGGGGCGCGTTGGCTGGTGGGTGAGGTGATGCAGGGGGGGCGCGCAGGATGGGGGGGGCGGTGCCGTGCCGAAGCAAAAGGGTCACGACGGAGGGGGCGGTGCTGCGCCGAAACGGAAGGGTCGGGGCGGAGGGGGCGCGCTGGCTGGCGGGTGGGGGGGGCGGGGGGGGGCGCGAGCGGAGGGGTCGCGCTGGCTGGTGGGTGGGAGGATGCGGGGGCCTTTAGGAAAGGGTCGGGGGCGGGACGGGGCGGTGTGCCGTGCCGAAATAAAAGAGTCGGGGCGGAGGTGGGGTTATGGCTGGTGGGTGGGCGGCGTGGAAGATGCGCGCGGGATGCGCGGGGGGGGGGCGGTGCCATGCCGAAACAAAGGTGCCGGGGCGGAGGGGGCGATCTGGCTAGCGGGTGGGGGGGGTGCAGAGGGGGCGCGCGGGATGGGAGGGGGGGGGCGGTGCCGTGCCGAAATACATGGGTCGGGACGGAGGGGGCGCGCTGGCTGGCGGTTAGGGCGACGTGGAGGGGGGTGCGGCGCGGCATGGGAGGGGGCGGTGCCGTGCCGAAATGAAACGAGAGGGTCGGGCCGGGGGGGGGGGGGGGCGGGGCCGTGCCGAAAAAAAAATGTTCGCCGGCCCAACGGGCCAGGGCGTGCTAAGATCTCCGGTACCTGGTTAACAGTATTTCTAGTTCGCGCGCGCGGGGCGGCCCCTGGGGGTCCCCGGACGAAAAGTACCCCGGCAAGGTCCCGGCAAGTCCCCGGCAAGGTCCCGGCAAGGTCGGGTCAGAGATGCCGGAGCCCTGTTACAGGGCCCCAGGACGGGCCAAGAGGTCCCCAAGAAGCCTCCAAGACGGTCCAAGAGGGCCCCGAGACGGCCAAAGATCGCCCGAAGACGCCCAACAGGGCCCCAAGACAGCCCAAGAGGCCTCCAAGACGCCCCAAGGGCCTTCCAAGAGGCCTCCGAAGAGGGCCCCAAGAGGCCAAAATCGTTGATTTTCATTGTTTTTTTATGTTTTTTGCGTTCTGGCTTTTTCGGCTTCCGGACGCTCCAAGACGGCCCAAGAGGCCCCCAAGACCGCTCCAAGACGGCCCACGAGGCTCCCAAGACGGCCCCGGAACGGCCCAGGAGGGCCCCCAAGACGGCCCAAGTGCCGCCCAAGACGGACCAAGAGGCCCCAAGACGGGCCCAAGAGGGGCTCAAGAGGGGAACCGAGAACTGAAAAATCGAGCCCTCCGCCCCAGAAGGCGCCCAGGAGGCCCCAAAAAGGCCCCAAGAGGCCCCCAAGAGGCCCCCAAGACGCCCCAAGAGGCGCCCAAGAGGCCCAAAAGAGGCCCCAAGAGGCCCCAAAACGGCCCCCAAGAGGCCCCCAAACTCGGCTAGCCCACAACGGTGCGACAATATGGGCCGGCGGAATGATCGAAGCGATTAAATAAAAATGTTCGCGGCGGAGGGGGCGCGCTGGCTGGCGGATGCGGGGGCGCGGAGGGGGCGCGGGCCGGAGGGGGCGCGCTGGCTGGCAGGTGGGAGAGTGTGCGGGCCCCTACAATAAGGTGGGCGCGCGCTGGCCAGTTGGTTGGGAGGGTGCGGAAGATGCGCGTGGGGTGGGGGTGGCGGAGCCGTCCCGACATAAAATATCCCGGCAAAGCAACCTAACAGCGATGTGTAGAAGCATATCTGAAAGCATTCCCCTTAAGATTCAGATGAAAATCCCGTTGTCGAATTCTGCTGTTCTCGCAGTCGTAGTCGCATTCGCGATGACAGTCGCAGCGGCAACGGCAGTCGCAGTCACAGCCTCAGCCTCAGCCTGCCTCCTCCTCTCCTCCTCTTTCTCCTGCTCCTCCTCCTCCTCCTCCTCCTCCTCCTCCTCCTCCTCTTCTTCCTGCTCGTCCTCGTTCTCGTCCTCCTCGTCTTGCTCGTCCTCCTCCTCCTGGTGCTCTCTCCTCCTCCTCCTCCTCCTCCTCCTCCTCCTCCTGGTGGTCCTCGTTCTCCTCCTCCTCCTCCTCCTCCATGGTGGTCCTGCGTCCCGCTTGGGGTGGTGCTCTCGCCCCCCCTCCTCTCCCGTCCTCCTCCTCCTCCTCCTCCTCCTCCTCGTCCTCCTCCTCCCCTCTTCCTCCTCCTCCTCCTCCTCCTCCCTCCTCCTCCTCCTCCTGGTGGTCTCCCCCTCCCTCCTCTCCTCCTCCTCCTCTTCCTGTTCGTCTCGTTCTCGTCCTCCTCGTCTTGCTCGTCCTCCTCCGCCTGTGTTCTTTTTCCCTTTGTTCTCCTCCTCCTCCTTCCCCCCTCCTCCTCCTCCTCCTCTCCTCCTTGTGGTCCTCGTTTTCCTCCTCCTGTACTCTCCCCCCCCTCCTCCTCCTCCTCCTCCTCGTCCCTCGTCCTCGTCCTCCTCCTCCTCCTCCTCCTCCTCCTCCGCCTCTTCTCCGCTCATCCTCCTCCTCCTCCTCCTCCTCCTCCTGGTACCCCTCCCCCTCCCCTCCTCCTCTCCTCCTCCTCCTCCTCCTTCCCTGGTCGTCCCTCCTCCTCCCTGTCGTTCTCCTCCTCCGCTCGTCCTCCTCCTCTCCTGCTCGTCCTTCTTCTCCTGCTCCTCCTGCTCCTCGTCCTGCTCCTGCTCGTCCTCGTCCTCCTGGTCTTGCTCGTCCTCCTCCTCGTCGTGCTCTTGCCCCTGCTGAAAATGTGGCCCAGGAATGGGAGTTCTGGGAAGTCGAAGAGCACGAAGTGGCCTACAGTTGGCTACGGGCATTCAAAATGTGGCCCGGGAATGGAGTTCTGGGAACTCGAAGAGCACGAAGTGGCCTACAGTTGGCTCCGGGCATTCAAAATGTGGCCCGGGAATGGAGTTCTGGGAACTCGAAGACCAGGAAGTGGCCTACAGTTGGCTCCGGGCATCCAAAATGTGGCCCGGGAATGGAATTCTGGGAAGTCGAAGAGCACGAAGTGTGTGACTGTTGCATCCGGTTATCTAAATGTGGCCCGGGAATGGCGTTCTGGGATCTCGAAGAGCACGAAGTGTGTGACTGTTGCATCCGGTTATTCAGAATGAGCCTGGGAATGGAGTTCTGGGAACTCGAAGAGCACGAAGTGTGTGACTGTTGGTGAAAAACGAGGTGGACTCAACCCGCCCGGCAACTCCCAACACCTGCCCGGACCCCCCTGTGGAGTGATCTGTGAGCTGTTTTTAGCCCACTAGAAACCTATCAGTCTTCGCTGTTAGGTAAAAAAGTCGGGGCGGAAGGGGGCGCCCTGGCTGCGGGCGGGGGGGATGCAGAGGGGGCGCGCGGGATGGGGGGGGTCCTCGTCGAAAAAAAGGATCGAGGCGGAGGGGGCGCGCGGGAGGGGGGCAGTGCCGTGCCGAAATAAAGGGGTCGGGGCGGAGGGGGCGCGCTGGCTCGTGGACGGGGCGATGGAGGTGGCGCTCGGGAGGGGGGGGGGGCGGCGCCGTGCCGAAATAATAAGAAGTCGGGGCGGAGGAGGCGCGCTGGCTGGGGGGCGGGTTGGCGCAGAAGGGGCGCCCGGGATGGGGGGGGCGGTGCCGCGCCGAGGGGCCGGGGCGGAGGGGGCGCGCTGGCCAGCGGGAGGGGCGACGCAGAGGGAGCGCGCGGGAGGGGGGAGGGGCGGGGCCGTGCCGAAATACAAAAGGCGTGGGGGGCGCGCTGGCTGTGGGCCGGGGCGATGCGGAGGTGGGGCGCGGGATGGGGGAGGGCGGCGCCGCGCCGACAACAGAAAAAATTATCCCGGCAAAGCAACCTAACAGCGATGTGTAGAAGCATATCTGAAAGCATTCCCCTTAAGATTCAGATGGAAATCCAGTTGTCGAATTCTGCTGTTCTCGCAGTCGTAGTCGCATTCGCGATGACAGTCGCAGCGGCAACGGCAGTCGCAGTCACAGCCTCAGCCTCAGCCTGCCTCCTCCTCCTCCTCCTCTTTCTCCTGCTCCTCCTCCTCCTCCTCCTCCTCCTCTTCCTCCTGCTCGTCCTCGTTCTCGTCCTCCTCGTCTTGCTCGTCCTCCTCCTCCTGGTGCTCTCTCCTCCTCCTCCTCCTCCTCCTCCTCCTCCTCCTCCTCCTGGTGGTCCTCGTTCTCCTCCTCCTGGTGCTCTCCCCCCCCCTCCTCCTCCTCGTCCTCCTCCTCCTCCTCCTCCTCGTCCTCCTCCTCCTCTTCCTCCTCCTCCTCCTCCTCCTCCTCCTCCTCCTCCTGGTAGTCCTCCCCCTCCCCTCCTCCTCCTCCTCCTCCTCTTCCTGGTCGTCCTCGTTCTCGTCCTCCTCGTCTTGCTCGTCCTCCTCCTCCTGGTGTTCTCGCCTCCTCCTCCTCCTCCTCCTCCTCCTCCTCCTCCTCCTGGTGGTCCTCGTTCTCCTCCTCCCTTCCTCCTCCTCCGCCTCCTCCTCCTGCTGGGTGGTCCTCGTTTCTCCTCCTCCTGTACTCTCCCCCACCCTTCAGCCTCCTCCTCCTCCTCGTCCTCGGCCTCGTCCCTCCTCCTCCTCCTCCTCCTCCTCCTCCTCCTCCTCCTCCTCCTCCTC